ATTACTTTGGTGTTGCTGTATTGTAGAACAGCAACTACACGCATCTTAAAATTGCAGAAGCAGTCCTAATTGACATCAATAAAGCATACAGCAAGGAGCACTGATGATGATTCATTCGGAATCGAAATATGGCCTTATTTGCAGCATGAATTCGAAAAATAAGTTTATTTTGAATTTTAAGCGATATATATATATAAACCCATATACTAATATTGACTAACACAATACTTAATTTAGATATAAAAATAAATAACCATAGCATCCCATGCACATCCAGCACAAAATTTCTCGGAGTGATAATCAAGGACAACCTCTCGTGGGATATGCATATGGACTCGTTATCGAAAAAAATTAATAAAACCATAGGTGCAATTAATAAAATTAAAGTAAGATTGAATAAACCAACAATTATAGATTTGTATTATTCATTAATCTATCCACATCTAATATACTGCAACATCATCTGGGGAAACAGCTCTGAAGTTAACTTGAAGCAAATTACCAGATGTCAAAATCGTTTCATCAGAATTCTATTAAATCTACACCCATATAGTCATGTCAGCTGTTATTATCCTGAACTGAATATTCTAAACATAAAAAATTTGTATAGTTATCATGTTTCTATCTTTGTGATCAAGTTCCTACATTATCAATTACCAACATCTTTTAATGACTTCTTCGAATTTGGAAATGCTGTGCAGTTAAAATTCACTCGACATTCTCCTCTGCTCTATACACCACCTGCAAAAATAACACTGCTTGGTGAAACTTCCTGTTGATATAAAGACTACAAATTCTTTGCATTTGTTTAAAAACAAAATAAAGAAATATTTGTTGAAAAAAGTACAATTTTTATTTAATTAGAATCATGTAAATTGTGCATTATGTTAATTTTGTCATGAATTATAAATTTACTTAAAAAATCGTGTTAGAATGAACAATTTGTGAACGGTGGCCTGCGACAGAAGAATTTTGTTTTCTTTTAGCTTTGGTCTCCTAATCATTACCTAATTATTATTAATTTGGATTGATTGAATAAAATTTGATTTGATTTGATCTCTATATCTCTATTCTGTCCCCACTGTAACAAATTTTTGAGAAACTTTTTCTTATAAGATTTTTTAATTTCTCCGACTATATATATATATATATATATATATATATATATATATATATAGTTGCCATGATAACTGCAACGTTTTCCATGGGCATATATATATATATATATATATATATATATATATATATATATATATATATATGTATATATATATACATATATATATATACCCATATACACACCCATCTCTATATATCTATTCTGACACCTCTGTAAAAAAATTTAGAATTCTAGAGAAACTTTTTCATATAAGATTTTTTAATTTTTCAGACTCCAATAAAACTATCTGCAACAACCAATAACCAACAACCCTAACCCTACCCATTCTACTGAGCTTGCCATTCTCGACTTCATTGGCATTTTCTTCGACTTCTCAAAGCCTTCGATGTCACAAAATGCTCCTAGTCAAACTACATCATTATGGAGTAGGAAGAGCTGCTCACAATTGGACGAAATGCTATCTTTCATCACGGACAAAATATGTTTCCATAGACAACATCCATTCAAAGCATGCTCCTATTCATCACAGCGTACCACAAGGATCCATTCTCAGCCTTTCTATTTTCTATCTACATAACGGATAGCTGCAACGTTTTGCCATCCAAATGTAAACTTTTCGCTGACGATAACAACCTTCTTTTCACACCAAACAATCTACTCATACTCATACCCATACCTATCATACTTATTCTGAAACTTCAAAAATACTCTATTTGGTTATCCAACAACAAACTAATCATAAATTATTTTAAAGGGTCCAAAATACTCATCAACCAAACCTCTAACATAAATTTGTTAATTAACGACGTTTCCATAAACCTAACCCTGTAAACCAAATATTTTGGAATCATCACAGAACATTTTTCATGGAATTTACACCTAAAAACAATCTAAGACAAAAATCAACAAACTCATTGGCATCTTCTACAAAATTAAATATAAACTTTCTCTTTCTGTCCTACAAACGCTTTTATACATTTATTTATCATCACCTAACCTACTGCATCACACTATAAGAAAATAGCCCAAAAAGCCATCTGAATAATATAATACTCTTCGAAAAATGATCAATATGTTTAATTTTTAACCTCAAACCATATTTCCATACTAAACATTTCTTTCTTAAATTTATCTACCTTTATTGTTTTGCTTTATTTGTTTTTTAATCAATCAACAATATTCTCCCACCCCACTTTATCAACTTTTAAACATTAAGCACTTACATCCAATTTACAACCACTAGACAGCTCTCTCTCTTTTATGTTTATAAAACCCGTTTCAAAAACTCCAGGCAAGCATTAAGATAGTTGGTCTTAAAATTTGGACAGAACTTGTACCTCTCCATTTACTATAACTTTAGCCTAGTTTGAAACTTAGATTAGATAGCAGCCAGTGCGTTCACGTCAGGCGGGATGGGCAATGGCGCAGGAAAGGATGTAGATGACGGGTATGCCGGCGGGCCAAACGAAAGACTGAGACTGTGTTTAATCATCAGTTTAGATTATTTGGATGCATGTCGGACACAGTCTGCACCTTCCACTGTGCTGGCCAAAATTAGAATGCTAAGATGAAAACCTCTGTAGATAGGAACGACGTAGATTGTAATGCGTATATGTAGCGTGCTTTTTATTTCCTAAATTCATTACCTTGTGGCTTTAATAAATTAGGAGTAAAGTCTTTTAGGCGTTGAGATTACTAAATGTTGTTTTTCCATCGGCAGCTTCTTCAACCAAGTCGGTGCCAGATGTAATGCTTAGTATGTCTTTAGATTACATCAACAAGGTCAAGAGAGGAAACTCATGGTCCCTAAGAAAATGCCTAAGAATGCTCTCGGAGAGGAAACTCTGGAGCTGCGATTTTGCGGTTGAAACAACAAGAGAAGCAGCGGTTACGTATTATAAGTCCAGCCTCATTGGCGTAAGGTACGGACCCCATGAGTTGCCTCTGACGGTGGGATAGGACTTTGTGCCTTACTGATCAGCTACTGCCCGCTTAAACTGAGCAGCCCCAACAAAAAAGTGTAGATCCGCCACAGCCTGTCTGCTCTAATGGATGCTTAGAGCTTAGATTAGATCAACAAGCAGGCTGAACATTTGCACCATACAGATGAAAAATTATATAAAAAACGGATTCTGTTATGCGATAAGTTACATGGAATGTTAGAAAAATGTACCCTGGGTTGCGGATGATTTCCTACTGATTGATGACTCAAAAAAAATACAGTAAAAAATCATGAGCTGCAAAGTTTGAGTATTGATATTGCTGCTTTACAGGAAACAAGATTGGCAAATGATGGTGTGCTTCGTGAAACAAATTACACATTCTTCTGAAAAGGTAAACTTAAAAATGTGAGTCGAATACATGGAGTTGGTTTTGCGGTTAAAAATAAAAATACTTGCTATGACAACTGCCACCGTTGGAAGCACGGAGCGTATTCTAAACATTGGCTTAAAGACAGCCACGGGAAAAACCATCCTGATTAGTACATACGCCCCAATACTAGGCTAATCACAGGATGGCAAAGATAGGTATTATGAAAACTTAAAAGAAACAATTGGCTGCATCTCTCAAAAAAATATCTGTTGGTGTTGGGTGATTTCAACGCCTGAGTAGGATCAGATCACAGCGCTTGGCCGCTGGATTGGATTGGGCAAAATGGTATTGGTAATATGAATGAAAACGGTTTGGGTTTGGATTTTGTTCATACCACAAGCTACGCATCACTAATACAATTTTAAAACTAAACCACAACACTGCGTATCGTGGAAACATGTTAGATCAGGACAATGACATAAATTGGATGTAATCTTAACAAAAAAAGTAGAAATTAGCAATATATTATTTTAGTCTATTATTGCAGCTCTGACGTACGCAGAGCCTATTAAATTATATATATTATCTATATATCTTTATTATGTTCTTCATATGTTTATCCATTGATTTGAAGCAGCCATAATCGCCACAAAAACTGTTTATCCTTTTCACACGACGTACACATGTATTTAGGTGCAGTCGTAAGCACCGCATCATATACGGTGAAGATATGATAGCCATTAAAATGTTTGACTCAGTGCGCATTTGAACTACTGAGCCATTTCGCCGGCCAAAATGCGACGACTTACGTCGTTTACCCATTTACCGACCTTGGAAGGATGGACGGCTGGGTTGGCCGGGGTCGGCTACCCGGATGAACTTGCAGAAACTGCAAGATTTGAACCCGGGTCGCGGGAGTAGCTTACAAAAGAGAACCCACACAAAGAAACTTACAGGCTTTCAGAGATGCAATGAATAAAACACAAAAACTAGATATTGGCAAGATTTCTGTAAAAATATTCAAACTTGTGCCGATTCTGTTAATGCCTAAGGGACTGTATGAAGGTATAAAAATAGCTTTTGGATCAATTGCTAGCAGATGTGTTCCACTCAAGATAAAAGTTGGTACTATAATTTTAAACCATACATTTCAGATGGAAAGATGGGCTGAACACTATGTAGAACTCTGTAGAACAAAGAGTGATGTTACTGCAGCTGTGTTTTCAAAAGTTGAAGGTTTGCCAACTATGACTGAACTGCACAAAATACTTTCAAAAACGGAACTTAGTATAGCCACTGATAAACTTTCAAACGGAAAGGCAATTGGTGGAGAAATTCCTTTAGAAATTATTAAAACTGGCAAACATGCCTTTACTGAAACTACTTCACATGTTGCTCTGCTTGTGTGCTATCTCACAAGATTTGAAAGATTCAAATATAGTTACAATCTACAAAAACAAAGGAGATCGTAACAATTACAGAAGCATCTCCTTGCTAAGTGCTGTTGGAAAAACTTTTGCTCGAGTGCTTCTTGAAAGATTACAAATTTTAACAAATCGAGTATACCCATCTACCTTTATCATCAACGCTTCTACTCTCAAAACTTTTCATAGCTCTAATCAAATCATCAAATACGCTGACGACACCTACCTTATCATCCCATCATCTAACTCAAACACCATCCAATCGGAACTCGACTCATTAACCACATGGTCAAAACGATGCAACCTTTCACTTAATTTCAATAAATCATTTGAACACATCATTCACAATAGCCGTAAAAAAATAACATTACCTCCTAAACACCCATCAATCACTCGCACAAATCAACTAAAAATATTAGGCATCACATTCACCTCCACACTCAATATAGCACCTGATATCAATTACATCATCACAAAAAGCTTTCAAACATTTCACGCACTCAAAACACTCCGTTCACATGTTCTCAGAGGCATCAAATTATTCGACATCACCGAATCACTCATCATCTCACGCATCAAATATACAGCTCCCTCCTGGTCTGGTTTTGCCACGCAACAACAACTTCAGCAGCTACAATCTCGCATCAAAAAACTAAT